AGTGGAAGAAGCTTGAAATCTGAAAGTTTAAGAAAAACTTATTTCTTTTGCATCTAAACTGTGATCTGGATAAGCCCAGAGTGTGTGGATCGGCACTTTCAGACTGTCCATAAACAGGTAGGTAGTATGTAGTAAGTGTGGTGCATCTCCTATAATTTGTATAGCAAAAGCCATTTTGTGCCAGGCAAAGTAGCTACTTAGGAGGCCAAGATCCAAGGATCTCCTTTTCAGGTCAGTTGAGGCAAAAAGGTTTCTGAGACTCCATCTCAGCAAATGACTGGACATGGCCATTCATGCCTGTTTTTTTTTCAGGTATGGGAAAACACAAGGGCTGGACTCACCCAGTTGTGAGTGCTTGTTAACCTTAGTGACCCAGGAAAGCACAGGTAGGAAGATCAGAAAGAACAAAGCCCAGTTTGTCCTGGACATAAGACAATCTACCTTGAAAATAATCCATGCAAAAATGACCTAGAAGTGTGAATCGAAGTATTACAGCACCTGCCAAACAAGCTTGATGCTCTGCATTTATTTGTCAGTATTGAAAAAGGAACTATAAACCCTAAAACAAAACCCTTTTCATTTTTTTGAGTCCCTTCCATAATATAGGTATTTTCAAATACAAAGTATACTACTTTTCTAAAGTATCCTTATTTATTTACTAACTTATTTATGGTACTAGGGCTTGAACTAAGGGCCTCTCATTATCACTTGGAATTTTTACTCGTGGTTAGTGTACCACCGTAGTCACATCTCCAATCCAGCATTTTTTCCCATCTGCTAAGCTCATTTTATTTTTACGTTCATTTATTTGTATTTCAAATAGTTGTGCAAGAGGGTTACTGTTTAGCATTTTCACTTAGGTGTATAGTTGTTAAGCATATTTAAACTTAGAAGCCAGGCTTGTTGGCACATGCCTGCAATGCCAGAATTAGTGGGACTAAGGTCTGGGCTAGACAGTCCAGCATCTTTTGTTTGTTAATGCGAGAGAAGTGTCTCTTTCAACCTAGATGCTCAGATCTCAATCTCCTGAGTAGCTAGAATTACACGTGTGAGCCATTGATACCTCGTAGACCCTTTATAAATATCAGCAATCAGGTTTGTTTATGTTTTGACAGGATTTTGTCCACACTGGAGTTTTAACTGAGGGCTTCTGGCTTGCTGGACTTTCTTGACCAGCTGATGCTGTACCCTTTGACCCACAACTCCAGCCCAGCTTTTTGCTAGTTGTCTTGAAGATGGAGTCTCTTGTCCGTATCTTTCCCTGCTGGTTTTGAAATTTGATCCTGTGGAACTCAGCCTCCTGAGTAGCTAAGAATACAGGTGGGAAGCACAGGCACCTAGCTCAGTTTTTAAAGCCTTTACTCAATAGCACCACACTTACTATTACAATCTACAATAGTCAAATTACATTGACAGTTTACTGATTTGTTTCATTTCATGATGAAGATCCTAACTCTTAGTCTGAGATCAGCTCTTTTCTTTTTGTTTTATTGGGGGGGGAGGGTAAAAGGGCTCAAACTTAGGGCACTGAGTTTTTGCTCTGAAGCTTTCTGGCTTGTGGCTGGCACTATCACTTGAGCCATATATCCACTATGGAATTTTTCTGGTTAACTGAATTTAAGAGTCATGCATTTGTCTGCCCAGGCTGGCTTGGAACAGTGATCCTTAGTGCTCAGGCTTCTGAGTAACTAGGATTATAAGCATAAACCACTGGAGCCTAGTTCATTTTCTCTTTTACTATACATGATTTTAGATTTTTTTTGGCTGTTGGGGGTGCTCCAGCCTTTCATTACTTTCCTGGAAGGCATTGTTAAGTAGTGAGAAAAAATGAATTAAGGAGTCCAAGGTCAGCCGAGGCAAAGAGAAATGGGGACAATGTGGACACTAGATGATTTCAGACCAGTCTCAGCACTATGATTGGAAGCTAGCTAGACCTGGGAAACCTGCAAATTCTATGAGCTTCTGTGATTCTTTGTCTTGCAATTAGATTTGATAAATAACCCACTGTGCCATACCTTATGTTTTTCCTTGTGAAATAGGAATGTTAGTATGCATTTAATTTATGAAAGGAACCTGATATGGTGCCTGACACATACTGAACTTTGGTAAATTTCATTTAGTATTATAGTTTTGCCCCCTCAAATCCACTAACCACCTCAATTGGTTTTTGTTGTTTTGTATCATATACACAAAAGATAAAAATATGTAGCCCACATAATAACTCTCAAAATCAATCAGGATGTGGTTTAGCAGTTAAACCTACCTTACTACATAAATTTTCAAAATCATTATTGTCTGTGTGGGGAAGTCATACTCAAATTATGATGCAATTCAAAGCTCCTAGATATTTTGTCAAGGTCTTTTTCAACCTCTCCCTTCCATTTACCCTGCTATCCACCCCACCTGTTATTCACAATTATTATATCCTGATAAGACCTACTTTTTGCTTAGCTTGCTGAATTGCATACAAGTTAAGCTCGTATTTAATTGATAGGCTGTGCTTCTTCCAACTCACTGCAAACTGACAGCACAGTGGCTTCTAAGTACTCCATCTGAGTATCACCATTATTTCTCACCATTATTTCTTCTCGCAATGATATGCACAAATCATCTTCTCATGCACCTGCACTTAGATAAAACTGTATTTTTCATGTATGTCCCAGGTGGAGATCTATCTCTAGTGTATTCATAGTTTGAAAGCACCTTGTAATGGCACTTGGGCTGGAGTTGTGGCTCAAGTGTCAAGGTAGAGTGCCAGCCTAGCAAGCAAGGCAAGCATGAGTCCCCGAGTTCAAAACCCCATTACCAATTATGTGTATGTACACACACACACATATGTATATACAACTATATGTGTGTGTGTATGTGTGTGTGGTGTGCACACACACACATACTGAAGGACTTTAATTTCCCAGGCCCCAAACCTCTTGCCACATAAAGCAATGACACTTGATTGCCCACATATGAAATCCCCAGTTCTTCATACTTCTTGTCTTTTTAGTTAGGAGTTATTATACTACTATGGTATAAATGTTTTGTGTTTCCCTCCAAAAAATTTGTATGTTAAAATGCAAGTCCCTATTGGAGTACTGTTGGTTCATACCTGTAATCCTAGCTACTTAGGAGGCTGAGATCTGAGAATTGGTGTTCGAAGCCTGTTAGGATAGGAAAGTCTGTGAGACTCCTACTAATCACTAAATTTGTAATAACTAGAATATGTGTATGATATTCTTAGCAGGGGATCACAATAGCCCAATCGCTAAGTGCATAGGCCCACATATAACAAAGCATAACAAAATGAACTCCAAGAATTGAAAATAAGTTCCTATTATGTCCTGTATGCAGTTATTTCTAATTTTTCTTTCTGTTTTAGTTTTCTGTACCTCTTCTCTTGTATATAAGCTTCTTTGATCAGTGGAAATGGAAAGGAAATCACAGAAACAGCAGGACAAATGATGAACTAAGGCAACAATGATACTCATTAAGACACTATGTTGGAAACGAACTTTACAATCTGGGGGGGAGGGGAGTTGGGGGTGGTAATTGGGAGAAAATAAGGGAGGGGGTAACAGTGTTTAAAAAGAAATGTATTCATTACCTTGCTTATGTAACTGTAACCCCCACCTGTTCATCACCTTTACAAAAAAACAAAACAAAAAAAACCTGGAATCTGTAGATCAAGTGGTAGAGTGCTAGCCTTGACCAAAACATTCTTAGGGATAGCACACAGGCCTAAATTCAAGCCTTCAGATCAGCACAAAAACTAAAAAACCCTAAGTGGTTGCATCTTACATATGTAATCCTGGCTACTCAGGCGGCTGAGATATGGAGGGTTATAGTTTAAAAGCTAGAATGGGCAGAAAAGAGACGCCATCTCCAATATAGCAAGCAAAAAACATTGTGGAAGCCAGATGCCAGTGACTCACACTTGTAATCCTATCTCCTCAAGAGTCTGAGATCTGAGGATTGTGGCTTGAAGCCAGCCCAGGCAGGTAAATGCATGAGACTCATCTCCAATTAACCACCAGAAACTAAAAATTGTGCTGTGGCTCTAAGTGGTTGAGCATTAGTCTTGAGCAAAAAGAGCTTAAGGATAGTGTCAAGGCCCTGACTTCAATCCCCAGGGCTGACAAAAAAAAAAGCATTGCTAGAAGTATGGCTCAATTTGTAAAGCATCAGCCAAGCAAGCAAAGATGAGTGAACTAAATTCAAGCCCTGGTACCAGAAAAACACAAAGCACAACAACACTTTAAATCACTGATATGATGGTATTGAAGGTGAGGCCTCCAAAAGGTAACCAGGTCAAGAAGATGGAACCATCACAAATTAGATTATGCCTTTATGAGAGAGGCCCCAGTGAGAGACTTCACCTATTTTGCTATGTGAAGCAACAACAAAAAGTCTGTGGTATATGAAACAACAAAACAAGGCATATACCATAGGGGGAAGAACACACACACACACAAAAAGAAAATCAATAGTACATTATAAACAACAACAACAAAGAAAAAACCTCTTGTGTCCATATCTTGGGGTTCATTTTGCTTAGCATCATCTTATATGGTCATATGTACATAGCTTTTGAGCTTTTCTGCTCACCTTATAACATTATCCTTAAACAAATATATGCACACATACATGAATGGTACAAAACAACACACTAAAATCAGCAATTTATGCTTTTATTTTTTTTTATTTTTTATACCACAATGCAACATTGAGTTCTTTCACTTTTACTAAAAAATACTTAAGTTTACTGCCATGCTATTTTGTTCTAAACCATTAACTATAAAGAAATATTTTCTAATGTGCTTCACAAAAGAATAAAACACTCTTGCATTGCATTCCTAGCAGTAAGTGCTCAAGCACATTCTATTTTTGAAATATATTGCATGCAGAACAGAACAAGAAAATAACATCAAACATTTGCTGTTTCCAGACCCACTCTCAACTTCTACTACTTAGACTATGGATGTTTTAACCACAAAATGATAAACGATTCAAATTTTATGAGGGCAGGAAGAAATAATCTTGGAACGTGCACTGACTGTAGCATCAATACGAGCCCTGGAATCAGCTCTGGCCGCAGCTCTGGCCTGTGCTTTTTCTTCCTCGTCTTTCATTGCCTCTTTATACAAGGATGGGAAGGCTCTAGGGCTGGCATGAAAGACGTTGGCTAAAAACTTCAGCACTTTCATCTTGGAAGTTTCAGCATGGGCTCTTGGGCCCCACCGGAATTCATAGAGCGGAGGATCACTTTTGTCCACCTGCCGGTACTCCAGATACTTTTCTTTCACAAAACCATCATGGATTAGTGATTGGGGCTCCCCAAATGCAAAGTGTTCAAGGTCTCTATGTAACCCCATTGCATTCAGGAACCTCCAAATGTGCTCCTCAGCAGCACGATTACCTCTCATGAAGATCACACCCAAGATAGTCATCAACAAGCCTGTCTTGGGAACACCATCATTATTCAGATTTGTATCACAACTTAGCTCTAATTTGTTGACAAGGATATATATGTGTCTGATGGGATCCATTTCCCTTATATCAAGACCAAATAGCAGCTCCAGTTGATCAGATGCACTTTTCAGGATCTCAAGGAAGTAGACCTTGTGCATTTGGATTACATTTCGCACCATTTCTCCCTTTGTGATGGGCTCCTTCATTCTATATTTATACAGTAGAAAGTGCACCAATACAAGCACCGTATGAAATGGAAATCTTCTAGGCCTAGGGGCATGCTGAGCTTGGGAGACTCTTGGCCTTTCTGCCCTTTGGTTGAGGCTTCCTCTAGTAGATCTTGTGTTTGAAGAAGCTCCAACAGCAGTGGTGATAGGCTGAGTTTCAGAAGGCACCTGAGGATTGCTGGTTGCCCCAGGAGCCCCTGCATTCTCAGAACTACCCCTGGAATAAGAGGAGGAAGGGGATCTAGAATTTCCTCTCTCTATTGAACTGGCCTGAGCCACCATCATAGTCATAGTCGGAAGCTCTGGCTCTTCCTGTGCCTGACGGCGTCTCTCACGAGCACGCATCTTACTCTTCAGACCCCTAGGCATAATGGCTTTAGATGAGCAGATGACTCTGAGACCTGGAGGAGAAAGAATGAGACTGTTGGGCCATTTGAGCTGGGATATGATTTCCCAGCTTTATTGAAAACAGCCTGTGCAGGATTCCTCAAAGCTACAGCTCTAGAAAAATCACACTATACCTAGTCCCTAATCTGCTTGTTCCCTATGGAAAAAACACTAAGGTATGCCTTAGATGGCAAGTTGTCAAATTTGCCTGGGACTTCCTGAGGTTAAGAGTAGGGGTTCTGTTATGAAGCTGGAAGTCTGTATTTGGGTTCACATTAAGGGTTATCACTTCATCTGGTTTTGATAATGGCCCCTCATTACAGAGCCCTCATCAGAGATACCAAGGGATGAGTGGAGGGAAAGCTTACCTGACCATACTCACCTAGAGACCCAGAAGAATGAACCACAGACTCTGTGGGATTCCTTCTAGCCTGAGGTTCTCATCTTCACTTTTAGGAGGTCCTGGAACTACTCATTTTTGACCCTCAACCCTTCTATGCAAAGCCCTCAACTCCCCGAAAATAGCAAGGAGATTATTTAGGAAGGCATAATGTATCTGTTTCTGGTTATTCGGGCTTGAGGGATAGATATGATTTTCCATTTTCCATCTCAGTCCTCACAACTGACAGCTAGAAGAGCTTGAGGCTTCCTCTACTAACATGGGGCTCAGAACAAATCATTTACCTCTTGGATTATCAGCAACAGTGGAGTTTTATAAGTCCCTTGTTAGGGGTAGGTGGTTTCCTAAGACCTCAATTATAGCAGGCTGGGAATTAATGTCTGTACTGACTCAATTTTAAGGCATTTGCTTCTGAAATACCAGTGGTAGGAGTGAAGTAGGAAGGTCATGTCTGGTTGGTGCCATATTGGCTACATGGTGAATGATAGGGTCTAGCATCTTGTCTTCATGCTGGTGATGGGTATGCCTGAGTCCCTGGAGGCAGGGGCCGGCACTTGCCTGATGGGTTGTTGGACCTATCAGTCTAGTGCCTGGGACTGGGAATTTCCTGTGACCCTACCCCCAGGCCTGACCCTACCCCCAGCTCTCAATTACAGCTGAATTGGTTTGTTGGTATTGTTTTTGTTTTTTCCTCTCTGGTCTGTTTCCTAACAGTGTTAAGTGTATTTGCAGGCTGCAGGCTTTTGTAACAGTTGCCTGCCTACAGACTGTTAAGGCTCTAACCAAGACTACAAAATTTGACCTCTCAAAATGGGGCCTCTCTGAATTGTCACTTTACAACAGAAGAATTCTTGAAATAAATCAATCTGATATTGTTAGCATTGTCCCCAAGTCTGGTCCTCAGCTCCACCCATACCTGAGATCCTCCCTGCCATGGAGTTCCCGTCCTACAGCTGGCCACTGCCTCTCTCCTCCCAGACCAACCTGAGTACTGTACCTACCTCACTTCCTGCCCCAGACCCTCCTGCTACTTGGATAGGGACATGTGCCATGTGCTCCCTCTCCTGGAAAATATGGCCCTTCTAATAAACCTCATAATAATCTTTCTCCTGTGCCTGCTTGCCTCCACATGGTCCCCGGGAATGGATGTGAAGGATTCCTTTCAGATATAGGGCACTGGAAAAATAAAGAACATATGTAGGCAGACAGTTGAGGCAAAGAAGATAGGTGTGAAGTGAATCATACCCAGACCACTCAGAAATGCCCCAAAATGTCCCTTGTTGGCGTTCACATCAATTCTTATGGTCATCAGCATTCTACAAATAAGGGGAGGGGGGGATCTTTGGTTCTAAACAGTCTCCAAAGCATGCAGCTTTACTAATCTGTGACCACCAGGTATCCTTTCAGGTGTTTTCCCTTAAATATGACTTGCATCACATACATATGATTAAACCCCAATAAAGAAGCTGGGTACCAGTGGCTCATGCCTATAATCCTAGCTACTCAGGAGCTGAGATCTAAATAAGAATTGCAGTTCAAAGCCACCCCAGGCAGGAAAGTCCTTAAGAATCTTATCTCCAATTAACCACCAGAAAACCAGATGTGGCACTCTGGCTCAAGTGGTAGAGCACTCGCCTTGAGCTGAAGAGCTCAGGGACAATGCCCAGGCTCAGAGTTCAAGTCCCCCAACTGGCAAAAAAACAAAAAGATAAAACAATAAAGAACATTTCGCAGATGCGCATTATAGTCTGAGTTACATAACTTAGACTTGTCAATCCAAACCCTAATTAGTCTAATTACACCAGTAGTGTGATGTACTCAAACCTATCTCAGGATAATAAAACCAACCCAATTCACAGAACTCTTATTTAACTGGAACCTACTGTCTCCCTTGACAGTATACTTTCATTTTCAATAAACTCTATTGCTTAGTAACACAATCCTAACTCTCAGATGAATTCTTTTAATTTCTTTTCAGTACTGAGATTTGAACTCAGGGCTTCACGCTTTCTGAGCTCATATTCTTCCACTTGAGTCAGTTCAATTCTTTGTTCATTGATGGGAATCTGCTTTGCTCTCATAACTCAATGTTGCTCCCATGGCTTGGCCCACTGACTAACCTCCCCTAAATTCTCCAGCCCATTTCCCAGCCCAGAATCTTAATCTAAATATAAAAGCCCACTCCCCGAACCCCCCAGGTGACAGGCACCTGAGTTACTCCAAGCAGGCCACACCTGGCTGAGCAGGGGACTTTACCAAACAACAGTTTCCCAGAACCAGTACTGCATCATAAATTCTCAAAAATCTTTGAGCCCTCCAGCTACCTGCACTACTCCCACCCATGACCCTACTTAAAATCCCTCCCTCCCTGCTCCCATTACACCTCCTGTTTCCTGACTCTATTCAGATTACCCTGGAGTCCCTCTTCAATTTTCATTAAAGTTGATCTGGTCTGTTGAGATCAGTATCTTTGCCTCTGTTGCTCTCACCTTCTCCCTCATACTCATGAGTCCAGACATGAAGAGAACAAGAATGAGATCCACAAGTAACAAAGCCACCCTCTGTTCTGGGCTGGACAGTTTGCCACATATAAATCACTGAAGGTCTCTACTTTTATTCCTGTCAGACAAAGGAACCTCTCTTAGCTCTTACAGGTCTAGTTCCTTTGCCCCACTATTGCTCTATCTCCCTATGTCATTACCTCCCCTTTCCTCCATCCCATCTCTGGTCGTAAGGCAACATATAGTACAGTATTCTTACCCATCTACCTGAATGCCCTCATTCCAATCCCGAGTCCCTCCCTCTCCTTAGAATTTATGTGCCAGTCCTAAGGCTTGAACTGAGGCCTGGGCACTGTGCCTAAGCTTTTATGCTCAAGGTTTGTGGTCTACAACTTGAGCCAAGCTTCATTTGTGGCTTTTTTGGTGGTTAATTGGAGATAAAAGTTTCATGGACTTTCCTGCCAAGGCTGCTTTTGAACTGTGATCTTCAGATGTCAGCTTCCTGAGTAGCTAGGATTATAGACATAAGCTACCAGTGTCCAAGTGTTCCATGTTATTTTTTAGTGGAAGTTTAAATTTGAAAACAAAAGTTTTGTGTGTGTGTGTGTGTGTGTGTGTGTGTGTGTGTGTGTCTTCCCAACTGTTCTGGACTGAACAAAATGCAACATAAGTTCTTCTACATCTCTACTATTTTTCCCCTGTGAGAGCTTAAGAGTGTACTGCCTTTGGAGGTTCAAACCACAATCCTCAGATCTCAGCCTACTGAGTAACTAGGATTATAGGGGTGAGGACCTTTATGTTTTGGAATGTTTGAATTCAGGATTGCAAGTTTGAAGTGTGAATCTTCTTTACTGTTCTGGGACAGACAATTTGTCACAGAACTCGCTCAACATCTCTGCTTTTTCTTCAGTTAGACTGAGAGAATGCTGCCTCTTTGTGTCTAGTATCTTCACCCCATCTGACTCTGTTTTTCCTCTCCTTGGCCTCTCTCCCCTCCTTCACCCTTCTTTCCTCTAGTTTTTCCCCTTCCCTTCCCCACCCTTCCACCATTCCTCTCTCCCCATTCATCAATCCCATATTCCTCTATCACCACTATGAAGGAATTTATTTTTATTTTTTGGCAGAGGTTGGAACTTGGACAGAAAATCTGAGTAGGGGTCTTACCTGCTGTACTGTGACCTCAAAACCTGCAAGATTTCGGTATTACTCCTTTTAGACCACAGAAAGGCTCTCTCTGGTGGCTGGAAAAAAAATAGTGTCATACCAAGCCATCCATACCTTTCCCTCCTCCTCTCTGCCTACTCTATGCCCTTTCCTCCAATTCCCTACAACGAAGCTTATTTTAATTATTTTTGCAGAGGTTTGAATGTAAGACCAAAAATAGGGGTGTGGGTCTCAGCCACTGTCCTGGGGTAGATAACCTCAGAATTCACTTTTACTCCTACTTAGACCTCACAAAGGCTTCCTCTGGTGGTTGCAAGGCAGAGCTCCGCTTCATGGCATATCGCCACTGCCTTCCCCTCCCCCACTCTGCTTACTCCACGCCCCTTCTTCCACTTCTCTACCAAAGTTTATTTTTATTTTTCAGTTAAGTTTAAACACGGTCTCTTACCAGACAGGGGCTCTGTCACTTGAGCAATACCTGCAGCTGGCCTTTTTAGCTTTACTTTTCTGATAGTGTTTTCCGCTTTTTGTATAGAGCCTTCCTCAGGCCTGATGCCTCTATGTCTCCCAGACATAGAATCATGCCGGGCCTATGCCACCAGGCCGAGGCGCTGAGACGCTCCCTAAACATCGTCACTACACTAGAAAATATACTATCAAAGCCAGTAGAAGGGGCTCAACTCCCTGGAAACTCCTCAGGAGTGCGCATTGGGGGTCAAATTTTACCTTAATTAGAGGCAAGACTCTTTCTTTTCAAACACTGTCTCAGCGACTCTCACACGACGGCTCCGGCTCCCGCTCCGGCTCCGAGGTTGTGACTTCCGTTGCCTCACGGCGGTAAGCGGAAGTCAGTCTACTGCGTCACTTCCACTGTCCCTGGTGCATTTTCCCGA